CAGCACCCGCGGGTTGGTCTCTCTCCTCAGCGCCGTCCCTTGCTTGGCTTGCCAGGAGCTGCCGGCCATGAGCGCCGAGCCGGGGGGACGGGGCGGCGGGGGACCGGCGGGGGGACCGCCCGCCGCCCCGGGCTCTGACACCTACAAGGGCTGGCTCTTCAAGTGGACCAACTACCTGAAGGGCTACCAGCGCCGCTGGTTCGTGCTCAGCAACGGGCTCCTCAGCTACTACAGGTACCGGAGACGAGGGGCGGGGGGGAACGGGTCGGTACCGGGCCGGGCCTGCTGCGGCGGGTGCGGTGTCCTTCGGCTGCCCGGGCCGGGTACACCGGTGTCAGCCCCGCCAGGCCCGGGCAGGTGCCTCAGGTGTCGGGAGGGACGAGCCGCGGCTGGCCGGAGGGGAGCACCCCGCGGGGGCTGCGCTTTTTCGGAACGAAAATCCCTTCGGTTTGGGAACCGAGTTGGGTGTTTTTGGTGGTGTCCCCCCCCCTTTTTAAAGCAAAACTCGGGTTTTGATCTCAGTGCCGTGGAGAGGAGCTGGCCCGTTGATCTCCCATCCCTCCGTCTCCCGCTGCAGCAGCTACAGCTGCTACAACTACCCTTAAAGCCAAAATCATAAGCCTTCCAACCAAAAAAACCCCCAAACCTCAAACCGAAAAACCATTCTCGCCTAAAATTGATTTGCTTTTGTAACTTGCTGCTGCACCTTTCCCGTTTTGTTTTTTATTGCCAGGCAGGAGACTAGAGGCTGCAAATAATTGCAGTAGCTGTGCCTGTAAATGCAAGCGCTGCGGCAGCTGTGTCCGAGGGGAAAGGATGGCCTGGGATGTGCTCCGGGAGGCAGCCGGGGCAGGAGGCTGTGTTATTGGAGGAAGGAAGGAAGTTATAGCACTTAGCGGTGACTCAAAAGTCTTGCCTGGCTTGCTTTGCTGTCTAACGTGATGGTTTTTGTACAGGCAGGCTGTAGGTTCCGTGAGGAGGGTATCGGACACGGGGACGGGAGGCTGCGAGGTTTGATACAAAGCGATGTTGTTTTAGTAGGTTCTCTTGTGTTTCTTGTATCAGTTGAGTGGTAAAAATACAGGCGTAGGGTGTTGTAGGATTTTGGTGTTTTTATCCTTTAGGAAGGGTCATGTTTATTCTTGTCACCGGGAAGCCAAGTGCTCTGTCACCTTCAGTATTGTGGAGTATGTGTTGGCAGTATGTGAGAACATGGAGAGGGTACCAGATATTAAAGATGGTTAGAGCTTTATAAAATAGTACATCTTTAAAGTCCCAAACCCTGTGAGTGAGGACTTCTCTTTAAAGGCCAGGCAAAAGCTGTTTTTTCTCCTCACACAAAGTTCATCTTCTCAGCTACAGCTGATGACTTGTAGCCCGAAGGAGATCCCTGAGCTTCAGCTCACTGTCAGGTGTTAATATAAACTCCTCCAGCTCTAAAGAGAGATTTGGAACCTGGGTCCTGGGGTTGGACTATGCCAGGTAACAGGTCAGAAGTTCAATGGTGTGTTTATCTACTTGGAGTTGTTTAAACCCCCCCCCCCCCCAAACTCAAACCAAACAAAAATGCTCTGTAATGAACACCCCTGTGAGAATGTAGTTACCTCTCAGTAATTCAGCTAATTTACTTGTAATCCTTTCTGGTATGCTTATGCTCTTTAACTCTAGTTCAGATCTGGACCAGCAGAGCTATGTGGCTTGAAAAGGTTGTTGAAGTTTAATGCTCCACTTGTAGCCATGTCAGGGTATTTTTTTTCTGTATTGGTGCCAAATCTGTCATAGGCAAACGAGTGGTTTTCTTCAACAATTATTTTAGATCGGAACAAGTGGGTTTATTTTAAGACAATTTGATCTATTTTAGGCTGAAACAACAAACAAAAACACCCAAGGAAATTGAGCAGCGCGTGAAGGAGTTGAAACTGTATTACTTTGTGGAGCTTTCAGCCAGTGCAGACCTGCAGCAGCTGCTTGGGAAAATTCATGCTGAAGGTTTTTTGTGCCTTCTTTTCATCATTGGGCTTGATGAGAACTGAGTTAATTTGGTTGTGAGTCAGGAGTACAAAAATATAGTACAGAACACGTGGTAAAGTTTTTCTTAAATGGAAAAAAGCCTCCATGATACTCTTCAAAACCAATGCTCTTAAGTAACAGCCATGCCAATCCATCAAGTGTCAGCTCCAATTGCTCATCGCATCGCGCTCCTGTGAGACAGTCTGGGGTAAACTGGCATTTTTATTTTAATACTACTTCTAGCTAACTGACAGGAGCAAGGAAGCGCCAGGTATCAGGCGGTGCATTTTCATTGACCTTCTCTGTGTGAGCAGACTGCTGGGCAACATGCGGACAGCTGCTTGTTTGACTTCTATGCAGAGAATTTAAGAAATAACTTCTAAGAAGGTCTCTTGCTATTCTGTAAGCCACGTGTCTTACTTTCTGCTGGGCCTTTGTGCTCATCCCAGCTCTGAAGGTGTATGTCAGAATTTGCTGCTAAGGGCTTTGCAGGTTAAATCGTGCCCTTGCAGGTGAATTGCTATGCTCTCCTTTTCTCCGTGGCTTTTGACGCCTTTGTAGCTTGAGTTTGGAAGGTGGTTGCCCTGATGCACAACCTGGATGATTTAGCTGTTGACTGTTCAGGACTAGCTGGATAGAAACTTCATTTTGCTTGTGCACTAAAATCATCTTAATTGGAAAAACTGCACCGTGATGCCCAAGTGGCCTCCTCTTGTGTATTGATTTAGTTCCAGATTGAAGCTTTTCGTTTCATTTGAATTTCCTGCTGCTTGCTGTTTAGCTTGCTTTAAAAAAACAGCCTGTCACGTTGCCTGGTGGTGATTCCTGGTAGTTTTTTTGTTTGTAGAGTTGAGCTCTTAAAATCTTGTGCAGCCTCTTGGGAGCTCCCGTTGTAATGGTGTGTGGGTGGGCGCAGTGCCATCCGGCAGGAGCTGCTCGGTGGGGTTTTCTTGGGTAGCCAGGTGCAATGTCTGTTTTCCACTCGGTTGGTTTCACAGGGACAGTTTGCTGAATTAAAGCTTTTAATTAGAGTATTCTTTCCAAATGGAGTCTTTAAAGCCTCCTGTATCTTTGCTAAATCTATGAAGACATCAAGTCTTACTGCCAGCGAAGCTTCCCTGCAGATCGTGTGCTTTTGCTTCATATTCCCTACTCTGAACCGGTGGAAAATGATAATGGCCGAGTAATTCTTGAAGATTTCCTCTGCGGTACCCTCCTCTGGAGTGAGCAGTGTGGATTTAGGAACTTCCAGGAGTCACACAGCAAGATAGTTGGACCATTTTAATTGCCCTTGATTGATTGTCCCTCTGAGGTTGTTTTTTGACCAAGTTTTCTGGCTGACTTGGGAATCTGCAGCACAAAGGCGATGCCTGTGTTGGGGGGCAGTTTAAGCATGACACAACTAGTCTGCTTGACTTGCTAATGATCAAAACTCTCTTTCTAAACTACTCTGGCAGGCTGCCACTTATAGGTTCATCATTATCTATAATTAGCATGTCTGTACAGGAGAATCTAATCACCTTGAACAGATAAGTGTTTTCAAGGAGATTAGAGAGCATCTTTAGGTAAGTATTAATTCATCAAAGATTGGTATTGGCTGTTGTGATCGATGCTCCAGATGAGTGTTGTCTTCTCCGAGCAGCTTTCTCATATTTCGAAGAGCTTGAGTTTCATGTTGTCGCCTCTGTGGTTTTGGTCCATAGCCTGTTATTCATGGGTTAGGTGTCTGAAGAGCCTTCAGCAGTACTCTCTGTGGTCACAGGATGTAACAGCTAAAGCATTGCCAAATGGGGAAGGAAAAAAATGTTTCATGCTGTGATTTGGTCATCGTGAAGTGAAAGGTTTCTCATCAGAAAGCAGCCTTAGCTCCCCTTGCTGGGTCTGCTCTTAGAGGAATGATGGGTGCCTGGGGCCGTTTAGCTGTCTTGTCTGTGTTATCCTGCAAAGGTGGAGGGCATGGGCAGCTCAGTTCCCTGGAAAAGCTGTGTTTCCCAGAGCAGCATTCTTCACTAGCTTTGTTTATGCAGCAGTTAACTCCCGGTTAGCATTGTAAGGTCTTGAGTACAACCTGGAGGTTTTTTTTCCTGCTTCTTGTACTTGGACTCCAGCTGAGAGCTGAGGTGGTGAGTTCAGGAAGGAGCTTGAAAACCGCTGCTGATACTAGAGAAGTGGAGGACTTCCAGAAGAGACCTCTGGGAGCCTCTGATCCAGTGCCCACTCAATGTGGGGCCGCCCAGTGAGGTTGCTCAGGACCTTGAGCTGCTGAGGTTTGAATGTCTCCGAGGTATGAGATTACACAGCCTTTCTGGGCCCCGCTTCCAGTGTTGCGCCACCCTCAGGGGGGGAAAATATGTTTCTTTATATTTAGCTTGTACATAATAAAATGAGGAGAGAGAGACACTCTCCTAGAATGATTTTTATAATGGCTTGTCCCTCTGCAGACATAGAAGTAGCTGGATGTCCTTGGGGTGTTGGAGCACGCAGGTTTTAAGGAGAGCCCTGTGGCTTCATGGTGACTTTGAGCCACTTGTTTTCAGACAAGCGTTTTAATAATTTGTGTTCCCAGTCATCTTGTTTTCACATGATACTTGCTTTATCCATATGGTGCTTTGCTGTTGATCGCTGTTCATCGTTTGCCCATTTTTGAGGAAGCACCTCTTCTGTGCTTTGTAACTGGGGATGCGGTGCTTGCATGGCTCCATCGGGGCATGTCACGTCAGAGCAGCACTTGAGTGCTGCTGTGGTGTGAGATGGGCGATGCTCTTTCCCGGACTGCTTGTTGCAGGCTTGATTGCTCTGCTCCCAGTTTAGTGCTGCGGTGGGGGAGTCAGGCTCTCTTGACTCCAAACAGCAACTGCTGCTGACACTGCAGGAGAGCATGAGACACAGATCTTAGTCCTTAAGGGTGTTTTTGTCATGGCCTGATTATTAGCACTGTATGAGGATTTTTATGTCTCTTCCTTCGGTTGTAGTATTCTGCCCAGTTTTGTTTGCTGGTTGCAAACAGGTAACAAGAGCTATGAACTATCTTGATACTTGATTTAAGATTATATGGGTAGAAATAAAGCATACTGGCCCAAATGCTTCATTTGATGAAATTGCAGCAGAAATAACTGGTTTGTCTTGTGCAGAATTAAAATTTTGAGAGGGGCAATGCATTCTGGTTTTGTGTGGAATGACTGCAGCCTGTATTGCTGTTTCAAGGTCAATTGCACGGTGAACTT